CCCCCCGTCCCCTCCCGCTCGCTCTCGCTCTGTGTGGGGAGGCACTTGATTGTACTTGAATGGTTGTCGTGACAAGTGGCAATATCAAACTTCCTAGGGCCCATCGAATTTCTAAATTTTGAATGCGGCAACTTGTGGCGGAGTATTGTAAATCTGGCGAGCATTGTATATCTAATTTCATGTAATTTACTTCCCTTTGCAGGCGCCCATTCGGTCTGATTCACGTGGACTACAAAAATAAAACTCTCAAACGAACGTTGAAGGACTCTTCAACCTTCTTTATTGAGATGGCTGAGACACGCCGAGTTCCTTCATCATCACAAGCGTCAACTTTGTCACCACCAACGTCAACTTTATCACCACCATCGTCAACACAAACACCGTCTGGATCTAGCTCGGTTACATCGGCACCATTCCTACTCATAATAGTTTACAGCTTATTAACATTGACGCTTTAGCTTTTAATAAATCAGAATATTTTATTTCCTGACAATGGCTTACGCGTTGAATTTTGATAACGATGCGAAAGGATGCTGTGACACACTATAAAACAGGTACAGAACTCTAGAGTTGTATACCTTTCCAGCTATACACATTACGCACATTCGAGTCAGGTAATATCAGCTTGAGTTAGCACTATATATATTAGTTAACCATTGAGCTGTACCTAACATTAAGGTGTCCCTTGTATCGTATCAACAACACTACATTGTGATCAATCACCCAGCGGTTGTCAACAAAGACGTCAACACCATTTATTCTTTTAAAAAATCCACGTCCATCATTAGGGCGACGATACAAAGGCCTTTTCCCTGTGATGTCGGTTGCATCTCTAAAGTCAAAGGGAAAGCCATGCTTACACTTGCCATTTTTTTTATGGCAAGGTGATGTGGAATCACATGGGCCATGCACCATAAATCTTTTTACCAATTCAAATAGTTCTGGATTTTGATCTTCATCTGGAAAGGAGGCAGATATTATTTTGTCGATATCTTCAGCGCAAGTTGGGGTATCCTCTGGACGCATAATGTAAAGTCCATGAGTATGAGTAAGGCCCCTTCCCTGAAACTCACGAACTATCATCTCGCCAACCACTTTGCCAAAAATTTGCTCCCGCACTAAGTCGGAATAAAGCTGAGTGGCCCTCATTTCAAACGCTCTGTTTTTGACATCATATCTAAAATTTGGATCCGTATTCGTTCTATTACATTCGTCAACAATCTCCTTCCATTTCCTATTGCAAGTAAGTGTGATCATCCAAGAAGGGTGTCCAAGCTTCTGTGATACGGCCAAAGCGTCATAAAATAGATCTTTCATATGTCTTGCTGAACCATAAATGCCTGGAGGCAAGATGTCTATTCTGCCAATCCGCTTATTTTGACGCATTCCTTCCTCCTGGATAAATTTCTGTAAAGATTTGTAGCTGTCAGCTTTTAACTCTTGTTGGTGAGTGGCTCTGAATGAGAGCCAATCATAAAGGACCTTTAGCCCAGCATTTAGAATATAAAGAGCGTAAAGTTTTTTGAGCCTAGGCAAGATTTCATACTCAGAATCTCTTATGGCAAGCCTATAACGGTAGTACTCCGCTAGGGATGGGACTCAATCAGCCCGTTGCCGTTCTTCTTCTCTGAATTCCAAATGAGATGTTTCCCCATGGAGATGAATCAAAGGAAACATTTGCATGTCCATGGTTCTTTTGCTGCGGACCATAGCACCTGGCCCATGCTCGTGTTCCCTTCTTTCCCTGGGGAAGTACATAGAGTCATAAGACATTGGTGGCAACCTGCCTGTGAAAACAGCGCCAATCCCATCTGGGACTGGTGTTATAGAGTACTGGTTGCCTCTTAACAAACGGTCAACATAATCGTCTCCAACTCTGGTCACCCTTGTCCCAGGGTCTTTTGGATTAATTACCAAAACAACATCATCCATTTCTCTGCCTTCATCTCGGGCCTTGTCTTCTTCTAGTTGTTGAATTTCTCGCGTCGTTTTAAACGCTTTTATAAAAGGATTGCGCGCCCTTAAATACCTTTCGAGAACAGCCAGCACTTCGTTACTCACACCCTCTAAGTAAGAAAGGCCCTGTCGGCGTTGGTCAAGTATTTCGTCGGAATTATCATTTGAGTAGTCCAGGAAGTAAACTTGTCCGTGGTTTGGTGGCCGAGTTTCATCACCAGGGTCCCTATAGGCATGGTTGTGCCATTTCACCTCACCATTCACTTTGAGGGACCATAAGCCATACTGTCGGGCACCAAGGTTTAGAAACTCGCCAGCTACGAAACACGTTGCAAAGAGCTTATTGTATTTTAGAATTAATTTTTGAAACTTCTTTGCCTCTTCGGTGGTCCCCGTCAACAGTTGGTAAATTTCCTCTTCAGGTCTTCTAAGAACTCCACTCTCAGGTAGCTTAAATTTGCCATAAGTACAACATTTTAGGCCCGGATCGGTCCTTTCACGTGTCAACTCTGCCTTCCAATACTTGCCCCGACAATGGGGGCAAAGTTGATCACATGATTCAAAGTCGACCTCTTGGACTTGTGTGAGATCTTCTCCACCATAGATCGCACCCACTCTATAAGTAAGCCTATTGCCAGGAAGGCGGCTCTGCAAAGGTCTTTTCAAAAACTTTACTGGAAGATTGTTAATCTTCCACCTGCCGTTTGGTCGGTGGAAGTCTGCAGCAGGTCTATTTATGGCTGGAATATTTCTTCCTTCTCTAGGTTGTTCATTAACACCAGGATCATCAACATCGTATTTTTCATCATATGGAACGTCGAAAGGGTTTGGTCCCTCCCCTTCAGAATCATCATCTGATGATAGGTCATCTGGAGCTTCAACTTCATCATCAGACAAATGAAATTCATATTCAAAGTCACTTTCTTCCTGGTCAGTCAAAAGTCCATTTGAAGAAGACGACGAAATATCCATTATCCTGAAACAAAAATGACATAACATAAATAAATAATAAACACGTAATCCAAAATAGCTATGCAAAAGTAGAATCTTAGTCAAAAACTCACAAAACAGTTAACGTTTATGAAATGACACACTTAAAATAACACCCATACTGCCATAAAATTGTAGGTCAACCATTGCATCTGAAGAATAAAATAAAATATTACTAAAAACGTTCTCTTTTAAATTGCAAATTCAAAGACATGCAATACTTACTGGATGTACAAAATTCATTTACATTTTTAATGTGGGTAAAACCATTGTGGAGAAACTATAATTAGCACAACTTGAAAATTATAAATTAATATAATGGCCATAAAAGAAATACAGCTAAACTTCAATCTGCAACTACCAAAATGACATCATTGCATATTATTATTATTATTATTATTATTTCATTTATTTTCTAAAAAAGTTGTGAACATAGTACACAATAGCATCGTCACATTCATGCATCTGGTGGATAAGATGGTTTCACATCAATAAAAAATCTTCAAGACTGTAAAATTCCATTTCGACTAACCATTTTTTTAGTTTTTTTCCAAATGCTCCAGTTTTTGTAATTTCTAGAATGTTCTTTGGTAATTTATTGTATATTTGAATACAGCTGTATAGTGGAGACTTTGCACATCCTTTCCCTGTATGGACTTTTTTTCTTATTTTGCGTATTATAATCGTGGACGTTTTCATTTAAGTTATTACTACATCTTTTTTTAGCCAGTATCGCTGACTGATATACATGGACGGTAGTAAGAGAAGACCAAGTTTTGTAAATATTCCTCTACAGGATTTCACTTTACAACTCTTGAACATTAATAGTCTAACAGCCTTTTTTTG